TTCTGGGATCGAGCCCCGCATTGGGCTCTCTGCTCAGCAGGGAGTCTGCTCCCTCCTCTCTCTCTGCCTGCTTCTCTGCCTAGTTGTGATTTCTGTCAAATAAATAAATAAGATCTTAAAAACAATTCCATGGAAACAAATGAAAATGAAAACACAATGGTCCAAAATCTTTGGGATGCAGCAAAAATGGTTCTAAGAGGGATGTTGACAGCAAGAAAAATCTCAAATAAATAACCTAACTTTACACTTACAGGAGCTAGAAAAAGAACAAACAAAACCCAAAACCAGCAGACAGAAGGAAATAATGAAGATTAGAGCAGAAATAAATGATATACAAACTGAAAATAGAACAGAACAATGAAAGCAGGAGCTGGTCCTTTGAAAAGAACAACAAAATTGATAGACCTCTACCCAGACTTATCAAGAAAAGAAAAGACCCAAACAAAGAAAATCAGAAGTGAAAGAGGAGAAATAACAATCGACACCACAGAAATATAAAGGATTGTAAGAAAACATTATGAAAAACTATATGACAACAATCTGGACAAGTTAGAAGAAATGGATACATTCTTAGGAGTATATAACCTACCAAAACTGAAGCAGGAAGAAATAGTAAATTGATCAGACCAACTACCAGCAATAAAACTGATCAGTAACCAAATAAACCCAACAAACAAAAAGTCCAGGACCAGAAGGCTTCACAAGCGAATTCTACTAAACATTTAGTCCAGGACCAGAGGACTTCACAAGTGAATTTTACCAAACATTTAAAGAAGAGTTAATATGTAGGGGCGCCTGGGTGGCTCAGTGGGTTAAGCCGCTGCCTTCGGCTCAGGTCATGATCTCAGAGTCCTGGGATCGAGCCCCGCATCGGGCTCTCTGCTCAGCAGGGAGCCTGCTTCCTCCTCTCTCTCTGCCTGCCTCTCTGCCTGCTTGTGATCTCTCTCTGTCAAATAAATAAATAAAATCTTTAAAAAAAAAAAAAAAAAAAAAAAAAAAAAGAAGAGTTAATATGTATTCTTCTCAAACTATTCTGAAAGTTAGAAGAGGAAGAAAACTTCCAAATTCATTCTGTGAGGCTAGTATCACCATAATACCCAAACCAGATGAGGACACCACAAGAAGAGAACTAGAGGCCAGTATCTCTCATAAATATACATGCAAAAATCCTCAACAAAATATTAGCAAACCGAATCCAAAAATGCATTAAAAAAACCATTTACCATGATCAATTGGGATTTATTCCTGGGAGGCAAGCATGGTTCAATATTTGCAAATCAATCAATGTGATACACCACATCAGTAGGAGGAAGGATAAGAACCATATGACCATTTCAATAAATGCAAAAAAAAAAAAAGCAAATAAAGACCATTTATGAAAAACCTATAGTTAACATCATCCTTAATGGGGATGAACTGAGAGCTTTTCCCCTAAGGTCAATAAAAAGATAAGGATGTCCACCCTTACCAGTTTTATACAACATAGTACTGGATAGTCCTAGCTATAGTGATCAGACAACAAAAATAAATAAAAGGCATCCAAATTGGTAAGGAAGAAATAAAATTTTCAGTATTTGCAGATGACATGATACTCTATATAGAAACCCTAAAGACTCCACCAAAAAATTACTAGAACTGATAAATGAATTCAGAAAAGTCGCAGGACACAAAATCAATGCACAGAAATCTGTTGCATCGCTCTACACTAACAACGAAGCTACAGAAAATGAAATTAAGAAAACAGTCCCTTTTACAATTTCACCAAGAATAATAAAATATCTATGACTAAACTTAACCAAAAAGGTAAAAGACTTATACTCTGAAAAGGTAAAAGACTTATACTCTGAAAACCTAAAACACTGATGAAAGAAATTCAAGATGATGCAAAGAAACTGAAAGACATTCCATGCTCATGGCTTAGCAGAACACATATTGTTGAAATATCTATACTATCCAAAGAAATCTAGATATTTAATGCTGTCCCTATCAAAATACCTACAGCATTTTTCACAGAACAAGAACAAACAATCCTAAAATTTGCATGGAACCACAAAAGACCCCAAATAGGCAAGTCAAACTCAAAAAAAGAAAAACAAAATGGGAGGTATCACAATTCCAGACTCCAAGTTGTATTACAAAGCTCTTGTAATCAAAACAGTATGGTACTAGCATAAAAATAGACACATAGATCAGTAGAACAGAATAGAAAGCGCAGAAATAAACTCAACTATATGGTCAATTAATCTTCAACAAAGGAGGAAAGAATATCCAATGGGAAAAACAGTTTCTTTAATAAATGGCACTGGGAAAGCTGGATGGCTACATGCAAAAGAATGGAACTGGATCACTTTCTTATGCCATACAAAAAAAATAAACTCAAAATGGATTAAAGACCTAAATTCGAGACAGGAAACTATCAAAATCCTAGAGGAGCACACAGGCAGCAACCTCTTTGACCTAGGCCAGAGCAACTTCTCTCTAGATATGTTTGCAAAGGCAAGGGAAACAAAAGCAAAAATAAACTATTCTAACTACCTCAAAATAAGAAGCTTCTGCACAGCAAAGCTAAAAGACAAGCTACTGAATGGGAGAGGATATTTGCAAATGATATATCTGATAAAGGGTTAGTATAAAAATATATAAAGAACTGATATAAGTCAACACCCAAAAAACACATAATCCAATTAAAAAATGGGCAGAAGACATAAACAGACATTTCTCCAAAGAAGACATCCAGATGGCTACCAGACACATGAAAAGATGCTCAACATCATCTACGGGGAAATGCAAAGCAAACCTACAATGAGATAATCACCTCACACCAGTCAGAATGGCTAAAATAAAAAACATAAGAAACAACAAGTGTTGTTGAGATGTGGAGAAAAAATGCTCTTACACTGTTGGTGGGAATGCAAACTGCTATAGCTACTGTGGAAAACAGTATGGAGTTTCCTTAAAAAGTTAAAAATAGAACTATCCAAAGACCCCTTAATCACACTACTGGGTATTTAACCAAAGAATATAAAAATACTAATTCAAAGGGATATATGCACCCTTATGTTATGGCTGTATTATCTACAATAGCAACATTATGGAAGCAGCCAAATGTCTATTGATAGTGAATAAAGAAGAGGTGGTATATATGTACATGTAAAAAAATATATATATATGAAATACCATATGATTTTACTAATACATGGAATTTAAGAAATAAGAAGCAAAGGAAAAAAAGAGAGAGGGACAAACCAAGAAAGAGACTATAGAGAAAAACTGATGGTTACCAGAGGGGAGCTTGGTGGTGGTGGGGGAATGGTTGAAATAGGTGATGGGGATTAAAGAGTACACTTATTGTGATGAGCACTGAGTAAGGTATAGAATGGCTGATTCACTATATTGTACATCTGATTCTAATATAACATTGTATGTTAACTATATTGGAATTAAAATTAAAAAAATAGAAAAAGAAAATGCAGACTATAAGATTGATATGGGGCTATGTTTTTTCTGGTGGGTATAGTAGAATTATGGTGCATGGGTGATTAAGATATTTAAATGATCAACAAATAGGGAAGAGCAGACTCAGAGACAATAGATACAGTGCCACGGGCCAGAAAAAGAAAACTGAAATAATGTATAGCTATGACCGTAAACTGGAATTTTCTGGAATGGGAGATATATGAGGTGGAATAGTTCTAAAATTTGGTCCTCAAAATGAGTGGATAACATAGAGGTGGAGGGAAAGGCCACTAGGTTTATGGGTATCCAAGAATTTTGAGGCTAAAATGTTAGTACTTATTATGATGCTGAAATGTAACACTATGGCAGGAATTGGGGAAGAAGAGGAAGGCTGTATGCTAAATGAATGAATTAGAGCAACCAGGAGATCAATACAGCCAGATGGCATAAGCCTCAAAGGAGAACAAAGTGTCTTATGGGAAGGGAAGAATAAAATACACAGGATTATTTCCCATATAGCACCAACCCAGAAGTCAAGTGACCAGAGACATTTTATAGGAGCTTAGTACTGGATTGTGTCGCTGGAGAGTCAAGAAGGAAAAAATGAAACAAGATGGGATCGGGAGGGAGACAAACCATAAGAGACTCTTAATCTCACAAAACAAACTGAGAGTTGCCGGGGGTGGGGGGTATAGGGATAGGGTGGTTGGGTTATGGACATTGGGGAGGATATGTGCTATGGTGAGTGCTGTGAAATATATAAGCCTGATGAGTCACAGACCTGTATCCCTGGTGCAAACAATACATTATATGTTAATAAAAATAATTTTAAAAATCACTTGGAACTTTATATCCTAGGAGACTAAAATAATAGTGAGGGTCACGACAAGATATAAGGAAGGTAGAAAGATCTACTTATCATGAGAGAGGGGAAAGGATGGGATGGAGACAAAAGAGATCAGTTTTACATTTGAAGTATCAATGATAAAGATGTTTCATAGATATTGGGACTTGAATTTATAGACCTTAGCTCAGTGTTTTGCATAGAGTAGATACCTCAAAATTTAAATTAATTGTTAGGAACAAAAAATAAAGGTTTTCAGTACTCTCCAAAGAAGGACTAGTTGGATCCATGGAAGCAAATGTATTTTGAAGTATGCAGCACAAGCAAACTAACATAGAGTGTAAATACAGAGACAACAATGTAAAGTTAAGTATACAACCATTAAAAGGGCATGAGAAGAAAGGAGTATTAACAGAAAAAGCATGGAAGGAATGTTCAGAAAGAAAGAGAGAATCTAAAGGCTACAATATCATGACAACTGAAAAGAGTTTCTAGAAGTAATAAGTGGTTAAGAGTGTCAACATCACTTACAAAGCATTTTTTTCATGATTAATAGCAATCTTGAAACCAAAAAGAACTGAGTTCATTGTATACTTTTTGAAGCCTAACAAAACCAATGATAAACAACAAAGCCTTCATTTACTAGTCCAAAACAGATCATTAATATAAAGTTTCTGCTGCTGGGAATAAAAATCCATACCTTGAACTACAACATCTGGCTTTGGTACCGTAGAAAACCTTCGATTTAGGGGATCAATTTCTCCAGGAGCTAAAAATCCCTAAAGAAAAACCATAAAAAGACAGATTATTATTTCTCAAAGAAAAAGCTAATGTTTGAGGAGAAACGATGTACCTGTGCCAAAAACCTGCCCTTTAACATGTGAGAGGCAGGTATGGAAAGAAAACAAGTCACTTCACTATATAAAAAATGTCTGAACCCCGAATTCACATTCAAATTAATTTCTTCTGGATTAATTTCGAGTGGTGGCCACAAGCTCTTTGTTGGAAATACAAGTGACAAGCAGAAAGTTTTTTGTTTGTTTGTTTGTTTGTTTGTTTTAGTTATACCTCCACCTTCTCTGGATGTATATAATCAGAATCAGACCACAATGCTTATCATCAATAATTTAAGCCTTGTTGTTTTCTCATTTGTTCATGTGACTGCTATACTTTCTGATCAGCAGATATCTTTTTTTTGAAATATTTATTTATTTGTGTGAGAGAGAGAGAGTACGCAGGGGGAAGAGCAGAGGGAGAGGGAGAGAATCTCCAGCAGACTCCGGGCTGAGCACAGAGTCCAATGTGGGGCTCGATCCTCGGACACTGAGATTATAACCTGAGCCAAAACCGAAGAGTCAGATGCTCAACTGACTGTGCCACCCAGGCGCTCCAGCAGATACCTTTTGACTTGAATTTCTGTCCTTGATGAAATGGGATGAATTCACCCATTTTACCTTAAAAACACCATTCACCTCCTCCTTTTTCACACATTTAATTTAATGAGAAAGTCATCAGGTCAGGATTACTTTAAGCAGATCTTTCTGCTCATTATTGCTATATTACTCATAATATCAACTAAAGATAATCAAACCTTTATGCTGTACACCTGAAATTCACATTAATGTATGTCAATTATACCTCAATAAAACTGAGAAAAAAATCCAAAACAGAGTGAACAAAAAACAGCTGCAGAAAATAAACAGTCATACATAAACAGGTCAAAGAATCTGGCTCAGAAAGGATAGCTAAGTACCACCTTGGATCTTCTAGGAGCCTCACTTATAGGTTACCATAAGAACCTACAATGGGGAAATAGATTTGTCTATAAATCTGGAAAACTTTGAGAAAGAGAGCCCTTACTATAGCTCACAATATCAAAAATAAGCTGGACATTAAGTACGAAATTCCCAAGTGCTTCACTAAGAGCTGTTTCAATCAAGGGACACCTGGGTGGCTCAGTCATTGAGCATCTGACTCTTGATTTTGGCTCAGGTCATGATCTTGGGGTCCTGGGATCAAGCCCTGTGTGGCGCTCCACATTCAGCGGGAAATCTGCTTAAGGATTTCTCTACCTCTCCCTCTGCCCCGCCCCCTGCTTACACACGAGTGCTCTCTCTCAAGTAAAGAAATAAATAAATCTTTTTTAAAAAAAGGCAAAAAGGTGTTACTTCAACTGAATTTAACATAAAAACATTCAAAAAGCCCCACAGCAAAAAGTATACAAACAATACATTTTTAAAAATTATGTTCCCAACCACTTTTCATGGTACCTAAAATTATCTAATCAGTTTATTCAGTTAAATAATGAAACATTATACTGCTTGAAAAAGTTAATACTTAAATCCATTATCAGTCATCATTACCATCTAAGCACAGTGCATGCATCAATCACCAGGCAAAAGACTGGCGGGGGGGGGCAGCTCTTCTGAAAGGGCAAGATCTAGTCCCTGATCGGAGAGCAGCTCCAAGTCCGGTGCCAAAGTAAGACGCCTTGGGAGGTATGAGAGACATGGTTGCCAGGGGGAAAAGATTTTAGTCAAGGATTGGTATGCTTCCTCTCTAAGGACCTGACCTGGAGGAAAAGATATAATTAAGGCAGAATATAAAGGACAAAAGAAAGATCCAGATTTAATGAGCTACTCACAAATCTGATTATTATAATGACTAAAGAAGAAAAAAAGTGGAAGTGCCTTGAAGTTTCCCCTTACCTCTGCCATCAAGCTTCCTAAGATGTACAGAGACTGACCCCACATATGTGGCAACTTGCCCTTGGGGACCCGGTCCACAGTGTGAGGATTTTGATATTCCTCATCAACCTAAAAGAAAAGATAAAGAAGCCACACAAAAGGTGATGGAAGGTTAAAGATACTGGACAACAAAAAGGCTGAATCTGGATTGTGACTCATACCCTATAGAACAGTTACAAATACAATGCACTGAAAAGTCAAGCCCTATGACTCCAGTCTAGGGAAAGGCTCCTCTAAATGTGTTAACATACAAATCACCTGAGGATTTTGTCCAAAGGCATATTCTGAGTAGGTGTGGAGAAAGGCCCGAGAACTGCATTTCTAACAAGCTCTCAGATGCTGCTGCTGATGCTGCTAGGAGCTTATTCCATCCATCTCCACCTGAATGGAAGACAGAGACTCTCCCGTGGCTAATGCTCCTTTGGAATGGAGAAGACGAACAATGGTGCTCCCAACTGGCATTGCAGGAAAATGAAGACATACAAGTATGTTGTAAACAATCCCAGATTACTGGCCTCAAGGCAGAGAATACCAAATCCTGAGAGTTCACACAGAACTTCACTCTAGTTCTGCCTACTGAGCTCTGTATCACTCTCAGCCTTAAGGTTTGTTTTCTTTTTAAATTGATCTCTGAACAATTAATTTTTGAAAACTGAGGTATGGTTGACATATAAAAAGGCCCTATATATTTAATGTATGCATCTTGATGAGTTTGAGGATAAGTAACACACTCATGAAACTACCATTGTCACGTTTGGTCTTGCCCTTGTCTCACTATGCAATGGCGCCATACCTGAGACTGCTTTAAAAATTAATTTTCAAAGGCCTAAATCATATTTTCATCATCTTATACCAAAAGACTCACTTTGAGAACATTAAAGTCAGAAAATTAGAAATTATTTGACCCAAATGGAGCAGTCCCATTGAGGTATGGCCCTCTTTCTCCCAGCTCCATGTTACGAAGGCATGTCCAACTCACCCTGTCTGGAGGAACACTGTACAGCTCTGGCAGAAGTGGGACTCCATTTTTGCCCTTGATGAGGACTGCTTCAAGAGCCTCTCTGTATTCTTGAACCTGTAAATAAAAGAAAGGGAAAAAAAGGTTTATAGAGTTTCCTTTGGGGATCTCAGGGAGGGTTATAGCCAAAGAACTTCCTATTGCAAAGGAGCATATTCACCTAGGGCAAGGGAGAAGAAAGGAGAGTAGCATTTACTAAATGTGTATTACAGGCCAGATACTGTGCTAGAAATTTTGTGTGCTTTAACACATTTAATTTTTTCAATTTAAATTCAATTAGGCAACATATATAATTCGTTTTTGATGTTACGGTCAATGATTCATTAGTTGCATATAACACCTTTAATTTTAATAACCATCCTAGGAGGTATATGCAATTAAAGCCTTTTTACTGAAAAAAATAAAAATAAGGCTCAAAGAGGTTATGAACTTGTGGAAGATCACACAACAAGTATAAGGTTGAGCCTGGATTTGAGCCCGAGTCAGCCTGTCTCCACTGGCATGTTTTTATCCACTACTCAAAATATAGCTTCCTACCTTTACATGTACTGGCTTTTAAAACTGTATTTAACTGCTAAAATAAGTTTCCATTGTAGTGAAGTTCATTGTTTTTTTTTGTTTGTTTAACAATTTGTTGTAGATTAGATTAGTAATACATAAAAAGCAAAAACAAACACAAAAAAGAAAAAAAACCATAATTTATGGTGGAAAAAACAGTTTTGCTATCACAGTTGTTTTGAAAACACAAATTGATTCCAATGTGTTTGATGTAAGAGGGAACAATTTGAGCAGAACACGGATTTGACATTTGCTTATGCACGATTTTGACATGAGAGTACACTCAGCTGAACTGAGCCCAAGTAAGAATACCCAAACACACACATGCACACACCTCAGGAAGACAATGAACCACACTCACGCATATTCCGTGTTAGAACTTTCTGTCCAATTTCAGGTAACACTCCTTCTACTGCTTCAAAATCACTCCTGAGCTGCTCCCTTCCCACAGCCAGCCTAGCTCCATGACTCTGTGTACCTTCCCTTCTCTTTCCTTTCTTCCCCTTTCTCCTGTTTGTTTTGTATTCATCCTGCCTGTTCTATGTTCTTTTTCTCCTTCCCCTCACTCTTTTGCCATCTTTCTTGTTCCTTTCCTCTGGCATGCAGGGCGGTGGGCATGGGAGCCTGTCAGGTGAGCTGGCAGGAACATGGGTGCATATTTATCTGTGAGCAAACCTAAGGTCTTTTTCAAGGTACAAGTGCCATATTTACTGTGGTATTTATGTATTTCTTAACCATTTCACGTGCATAAAGTTATAATGCTGTGTTTATCAGGTTCCTATAATTTTGTATGTACTTCTGGCAAACTTTTTAAATGTTGTGTCCCAACCTCATTTTCATGAGACCTATAGTTTTTATTTCTCAAATATGCAGAGATGGTGATTTTCAAGAAACATATATGTCATATTATAGCTGAACTGACTGTCTCTTGTGCGTATGGTATATCTTCAGCTGTGAAGTTAAAAAAAAACAACTTTAGGGACATCTTCTTCAAAGAAGAGTGAAAAACTATTTCCATTGTATACAGAGAAACCAAAGAATTCAATGACTATATTTGGGTTACTCAAGTGTCAGGAGGGAATCGGGCACCTGGGTGGCTCAGTCAGTTAAACCTCTGCCTTAGGCTCAAATCATGATCCCAGGGTCCTGGGATGGAGCCCTGCATTGGGCTCTGTGTTCACTGGGGAGTCTGTTTCTCCCCCTCCTCTGACCCTCCTTCCCACTTGTGCTCTCTCTCTTTTTTCAAATAAATAAATAAAAACTTTTAAAAACAAGAGTCAGGGGGAAGCAGAAAAAAATGAGTAAAAAAGAATCCAGGTTTCCCAACTCTTCCCCCACTCCTGAGTCCAAAAAGCCTGAATGTGTTTTGTACTTAATAGGCACATTTGATAAATGCATCTTTCTTTGAGGAAGAAAAGTTTCTTATAAAAAATTCTGTGGGATTTGAGAAGGACTGAGAAAAATGGTAGAATCAAAATAGGGTGGGTTATTTCTATTACCGCTTATTTGCTTTCTTTAAAAGGGTTTTTAATTTACTGAAATTTAGAGTAAAACAGCACTTTGTGGCCCATGAAACTTTGGTGTAACCCTATTATTTAAGTGATATTGGCAGTTACAGGTTAATATTGGCCAAAGCATTAAAATTACACAAAATTGTGTTTTATGTAGCCAAGTATAAGTGACTTCCAAATGTGTTGGATTTATGTTCAAGTTTAGACCATAGCCAATTTGTAGAATACCTGACTCTAAACTTCCTTGATCAAATCTCCCGGTCTCACTATTTTCCAATGATGGTTTCTTTTTTTAAATAATTTTTAAATTTTTTATAAACATATAATGCATTATTAGCCCCAGGGGTACAGGTCTATGAATCGCCAGGTTTATACACTTCATAGCACTCACCATAGCACGTACCCTCCCCAATGTCCATAACCCCATCACCCTCTCCCTACCCCCCTCCCCCCGGCAACCCTCAGTTTGTTCTGTGAGATTAAGAGTCTCTTATGGTTTGTCTCCCTCCCGATCCCATCTTGTTTCATTTATTTTTTTCTTACCCCCCCAACCCCCCATGTTGCATCTCCAATTCCTCATATCAGGGAGATCATATGATAGTTGTCTTTCTCCAATTGACTTATTTCGCTAAGCATAATACCCTCTAGTTCCATCCACATCATTGTAAATGCCAAGATTTCATTTCTTTTGATGGCTGCATAGTATTCCATTGTATATATATATACCACACCAATGATGATTTCTAAAGTACTTTACTCATATAGCTCAAAAAAGTGATGATGGTCATATTTGGGGGGGCAAGGAAATGGGTCGTTGTTTTGGGTTTTTTTTTGTGGGAGCTAAAGTCAGAACATCATTTCCAAGATTTTATATATACACACACACACACAAACACACACACACACACACATACAGCCAGGAAGAAAAGTCAAGTACCTCTAACAACTGAAGCAAGTGGACAGAGCTTGCCATTTTGCTATGTTTGTTAAAAGCCAAGTCTGAATGATGGCAACATAAAGGCCTTCCAACTCTTAACCTAGTGCCCTCAAGTATCAGTCTCTAGAAGACTCTGGAAGACTCTGTCTCTTCCCTATTAGGGAAGACTTCCATTTGGTCACAGGGTCAGCACAGCCATTAACTGAAAGATGAAGACATACTAGAAACATTCTGCTGAAAGTCTCTTTCCCCGGCATATTACCTGTGCTGCATTGCCACTGAAGACCCCATCGAGGATAAAGTACGTCCAGAACAGTGGCCATTCACACTCAATGTTTTCAAATAACTTCAGCTCAGATGGTTCATAGTATAGGCGACTGGGATCCTGGTAAAAACACAATAAAGTTTATCTTATCACTGCAAAGTCAGCCATCTGTCTTTAATTCAAAGGTATCACAATACAGCTTTTTGCTTCTGATTATTTCAGAGAAGGCAGGGCATGTACAGATTCTCCCTCCCTTTGAGAGTACTTTGTGATGTGACTTGTAACTAGTAGAACTGGGATAACAATGATACCATGGGTAGGTATATGTAGAAGTGAGATTCATTGTGATTTTATATTTGTTAAGTTTGAGGTAGTAGCAGAACATACAAATAGAAATGTTTACAAGGACAAGAGATGAGGGTTCAGGAGCCATGCTCGTCGAGGTGACACTTGAAGCACAAGTTACAGATGTAGTACATGCATATAGTGAACAAATTACCCAAGAACAGAATCTTGGTAAACCCTCATAGTATGGTGAGGAAAGAACAAAAAGCGAAGAATTAGGATAGTGTAGTGTTGTATAAACTAAATGGGAAAAGAATGTCATGAAAATGGAGGGGCAGGTAGGTAACAGTACTGTACTACAGAGAAGTCAAGTATAATAAGGATGGGGTAAAGACTATTGGATTGATCACTTAGGAGATTTTGATGATATTTTGAAGCATAATTTTAATAGGTTGGTAGAGATAGAAATCAATAGGGCTAAAGAATAAAGTGGAAGAAGGGAAGTAGACCAGAAGAGTTTGAGCTCAATGATTAAAATAAGCCTTAAACAATGTTTACATTGTCAGTGAAGTGCTTCTTCTTGACCATTCATTCCATTTAATAATAATTTTCTCCACTGACAATTCTGCAGAGAACTTCTGATTAGTGGAACAGAAGATATTAACTTTTCAAGATCAGGTACTGTTTAGAACTAACCAACTGCAAAAGGTGGAAAAGGGCCAGAAAGATCTATCGAAGGAAAGCTTTTCCCCTTAGTAATCATGAAATATTTGGAAGGGAGATACTTTGAGACTATTCAAATATCCTGTTTCTGCTTAAACTTTCATCCACTAATTTAAGCATCTATCAGTAGCTCTTTCCTGAAACCAACCAGCTGCAAGAAGTAGAGGAACTGGGGGCACCTGGGTGGCTCAGTGGGTTAAGCCTCTGCCTTCAGCTCAGGTCATGATCTCAGGGTCCTGGGATCAAGGCCCGCACCAGGCTTTCTGCTCAGCAGGGATCCTGCTTCCCCCTCTCTCTGCCTGCCTCTCTGCCTACTTGTGATCTCTCTCAAATAAATAAATAAAATCTTTAAAAAAATAAAAATAAAAAAAGAAGTGGAAGGACTGCACCTTCCTCTAATTTATTTAATCCATAAAGACTCACAAATCAAACTTGGCAACTAAGCCCAACGAAGGTAGCAAACATGAGTTATTTTGATCCTATTGTGTGATTATTTTGAGAATCACCAGTGAGCTTAGTATTTTGTCTTTTGAGTACTTTTTTTAAAAAAATTATGTTCAGGTAGCCAACGTATAATACATCAAGTATTTTCTCTGAATGGACTGCAGAGAGTAGTGACTATTCTACCATGGACTCATTTTGGGTAAAAGAAATCTACCTCTTTAGGAGTTTTATATCCATCTCGTAGAAAGCGACAGCAACCATAACGGCCCTAGGAATGCAGAGAAAAGAAGTCAGAAGCAAGTACGTTGGTGCAGTCACATAATGCATCAGAAATACATCCTTTGCAACAGCTACACGTGCCGACCTATCACCAACACAGATATAGTATTTAAAAAAATAATAAAATGTAATTAAAAAAAAAAACCTCTCATATGAGACCAGCAGCAGAAACTGATTTCAGCAATCAATGTGAGTTCAAATGAGGGCTAAGTTACAGGCTCTTCCCTAAAGCAGAGTTTCTTTTTTTTTTTTTAATTTTATTTATTTATTTGACAGACAGAGATCACAAGTAGGCAGAGAGAGAGGCAGAGAAAGAGGAAGGGAAGCAGGCTCCCGGCCAAGCAGAGAACCCGATGCAGGGCTTGATCCCAGGACCCTGGGATCATGACCTGAGCTGAAGGCAGAGGCTTTAACCCACTGAGCCACCCAGGCGCCCCTAAAGCAGAGTTTGTAATATTATTTTCTCCATCACTTTCCACCACAGTGTAAGTCTATAACAGCCCAATTACTAATCTGTGTTGTCCTGCTCACAGAGCTCATAAGAGAGCAACAGGCTTTTTAAAAAACGACAACATATATTTTTTTAAAAAATTTTGAGATAATTTGAAACTTATAGAAGAGTTGCAAAAACAGTACAGAGAATCTCTATTACCCTTCATCCACTGTCCTTCTATATTATCAAAGCTAAAAAATTAACCTTTGTACAATACTATTGACCAAACTAGAGAACTTATTTGGATTTCGCCAGTTTTTCCACTAATGGCTTTTTTTTTTCTGTTCCAAAATCCATTTCAGGATCCCACTGCATTCAGTTATCATGTCTCCTTAGTCTCTTCCAACCTGTGACAGTTCTTCAGTCTTTCCTTGTTTTTCATCACCTTGATGCTTTTGAAGAGCTCATCAGTTATCTGTAGAATGTCCCTCAATTTGGTTTTGTCTGGTGTCTTCTCATGATTAGACTGAGATGAGGCATTATTTGCACGGATACCACACTGGTGCTATGCACTTTTCAGGGCACTGTATCAGGGGTACACGACGTCAGTATGTTTTATTACTGGTGGTGTTAACTCTGATCATTTGGTTAAATCACTGACTCCAGGCCCCCAACAATATTAATTTGTCCTTTAAGTCAAAGCCTTAAAGAAAAGAAGGGCACGTATGGACATACCTGAAGCTTGGTGATGATTTCTTGCTTTGTGAGCTCTACCAACTGGCTATCCTCTACTGCAAAGGCTGGGAAGGAAATAACTGAAAGCAGACTAGCATCTACCTCTTTGGATGTTGAAGCACGGGGGAGTATTGAATTAAGGATAGACTAAAAAGGAAGAAAGGAAGTCAAAAGTGGCACATTAGTAAATAACTTGGGATTATAAAACTGACAGCTTTAGTCAAAAGATCTATGTGGAAGAGGATCATTTGGGAGAAAATCTACCATAATAATGATTCAATTATATTCAACAGTGAATTCCATAATAATTCAATAATACCTTCTGAGTGAGAGCTTAGAAAACTAGCTATTTCTGTACATCATCCCTTGTCTTAATACTGCTCTCAATGGTTCCCAATCCTGATTTTGAAACAGCTGCTAATGGATAAAGAACACTCTATACCTCATCTGTCCACAATCCCCTTGCTCCATTAGCAACCACTGAAGTGTAAAGATAAGAGAAAATGTAGCTGCTGAGAAAGCAGGATGTGGAAGGCTCAGCTTCTACACTACTGACATTTATCTTTTCCAGGGAAAATTTCACATTTTTAAAATGAGAAGATGAGTTTATTTTCATTATTGTTATCTAATCAGGGTTGAAGATGGAGAAAGACATCTCGCCAATGAGAAGAACCTTACTCTTTCAATACAAAGAGTACCCCTAAACAAAACTAAAGATACATATTTACCACTTAAACAGTCTAATCTCCAAACATCTAAACCTAGAGTCAACTGGGGACAAAAGAATGTTTCAAAGCCACTATCAAGAAGAACTCTTAAAATAAGTCACCTCTTGTTCTCTTGGTGTATTTCGAAAAGAAGGAGACCCCATAGGTGCTTGATAGGACAACAGTGGAGAATTCCACATACTATGATGGGATCCTTTTATAACCATGGATGAGAGAACAGGACTGTGATCTATGTTACAGTTCATGCTATATCAGGGTTATTCTTAGCACAGGAAGATTGGAGAAAACATTTTTGGCACATGGTAATAAGTCAGATTATGTACTCTGAAGTCTCTTTATTCTCAAAGCTATGCTCATTCTGAGTCTGGGTAAGAATAACATTTTCTATAATGTTGTTCATTATTTTCTTACCTGGCAGTGCTGCACTTCATCAGCCAGGACATGGATAACTGATTGGGGCCCACCTTTCACACCAAACAGGTCCAGTTCATCCAGGGCTTCCAGGGCTGCCTATTAAGAGCAAAGAAAGAAAGTACGTTTTCCACAAAAATTACGGATTTCTTCTCCCTGTACCCCAGTATCATATCAGTGCATATGAAGTCATTTTGAATATGTTTAGGAGAACAGAAAAAACAACATAGCATTCTTTATTTCCAGGGGCCTCTGAGTTTTTCTTTGCCTACCATATTATCCCAGAGACAGTTAAGATGGAGGTTGCAAACATCCCTTCATGATAAAAACCCTTAACAAATTCAGCATAGAAGAACATACCTGAACATAATAAAGGCCATATATAACAAACCCTCAGCTAACACTTGCTGTGATGAGCACCGGGTGTTGTAGGTGTTGAATCACTATATTGCACACCTGAAACTAACTGGAATTCAAATGAATACAAAAAAAATAGTGAAAAATTGAAAGCTTTCCTTTAAGATCAGGAGCAAGACAAGGGTGCCCCCCCCCATACCACTCTTATTCAACATGATATTTGAAGTCCTAGCTAGAGCAATTAGGCAAGACAAAGAAACAAAAGGCATCTAAATCAGAAGGGAAGAAGTAAAATTGTCATTATCCAACTCCAAAAAGTATTGGAACCAATCAATGAATTCAATAAAGTTGCAGGATGTAAAATCAACATATAGAAATCCGTGGCATTTCTGTACATTAACAACAAAAAAAACATCTGGAGAAAGAAATAAAGAAAACTATCCCACTCACAATAGCATCAATAATTATATGATGTGATAGAGGTGTTACCTAACACTTTGGTGATAATCATTTTGCAATAAAAATGTACTGAATCAACATGCTGTACACTCCAAACTGAAACAATGTTATATGTCAATTACACGTCAATAAATACACATTTTATTTTATTTTTAAAATCTTATTGTTTTATTATCTTTATCTCCAGTGGCTGAATTCTTTAAAAATGCATTTAAAAAAAGATACAGCATAGATAGATAAAGTTACAGCATTATCAAGCCAAGCACCATACTTTAAAAATAATTTTAATAAGGCACAGATGAATTCACAGTAAACCACTCTTTTGGTAGGGTAGCTGCAATTATGATACCAGCACATAAAAAATGCTAGAAGTTGTGTGGATATAAGATATTAAAATGCAACAGCCATTAGGTATTGGCACATCACTGAGTTTGCAGAGAGAAGTGAATACCCTAAAAAGATACCATGATTGGGGGAGAGGAGTCAAGATGGCAGAGAAGTAGCAGGCTGAGATGACATCATGTAGCAGAGGATCAGCTAGATAGCTTATCAAGCCATTGTGAACACCTACAAATCCAACAGGACATCGAAGAGAAAAAGAGCAACAATTCTAGAAACAGAAAATTGTCCACTTTCTGAAAGGTAGGACCCGTGGAGAAGTGAATCCAAGGGGAGAGGAAAATAGACTGTGGGGGGAGGGGCTGGATCCTGGCAAGCGGCAAAACAACGGAGCACAAAATCAGGACTTTTAAAAGTCTGCTCCACTGAGGGCCATTGCTCCAGACGCTAACCCAGGGTGAAGCCCATGTGGGGAGAGCATGGCCTCAGGTCCCGCAGGGTCACAGAGGGATCGGGGCTGAGTGTCGTAGAGCTCACAGGTATTAGAGCAGGGAAGTGGGCTACAGAGACGGAGTCGAGGAGTGAGCTCTCAGCTGGGGGTTACCTTACCGTGATCCGTGGCACAGGCCACTGCTCTGTGAGCAGGGACCCCACAAGATCCGGGGAGACCCCCCTGGAAGAGCTCAGGGATCTGTGGGGTTCGGAGACTCCAGGCGGGGCTATGTGCCAGAGAGAGAGAAGCTTGGTCACAGGCTGGGTGAGCTGGGAGCACAGCCGGAGGCCAGGGAGATGGGAGTGATTGAGTGCTTTTCTCTGAGGGCGCACTGAGGAGTGGGGCCCTGAGCTCTCAGCTCCTCTGGGCCGGAGATTGGGAGGCCGCCATTTTCAATCCTGTCCTCCAGAACTCTATGGAAAATGTTCAGGGAACAAAAGTTCCCGAAAGCGAACCCGAGCGGATTACTTAGCCTGGCCCCTGGTAAGGGTGGTGCAATTCCACCTCGGGCAAAGACACTTGAGAATCACTTACAACAGGTCCCTCCCCCAGAAGATCAACAAGAAATCCAGCCAAGACCAAGTTCACTTACCAAGGAGAAGAGAAGAATTCCAGAGGAGGAGAAAGCAAAGCATGGAATTCATGGATTTTTCCCCATGATTCTTCAGTCTTGAAAAGTTAATATTTTTAATTTTACTTTTTTTCTCCTGCTAAATTTTTTTTAACTTTTACCCTTTCCTCTTTTAAAGTTTTTTAGCTAGTTTATCCTAACAATACCTTTCATAAAAAAAAAATCTTTTTTGAACCTTCATTATTATAGTCATATTTTATCCTTAACTGTATCTAACTTTATTTTCTGTATATACATAGGGTTTTTTCTTCTAAAAAAATTTGGGGTACATCTTCTTCTAATAGATCAAAATACACCCTAAATCTAGCACAGGGCTTTGTTCTAGTCTCCAGCCTGAGCATATTCTCTCCACTTTCTTTTTCTTTATTCTCCCAACCAACTTATTGTATCAACTCCTTTTTTAGAACATAAAAAAAAATTCATCTTTATAGTCATATTCCATCCCTTCATTGTGTTTACCCTTATATGTTTTTCATTCTTTAAAATTTTGGGAGGTAGTGTCTTCTAAGAGACCAAAATACTCCCAAAATTAAGTGGGTGACCCTGTTCTAATCATCAGTCTAATATATATATATAATATTATATATATATAATATTATATATAATATATATGTGTGTGTATAATATTTTTATATTTTTTATTTATTTGTTTTCTTTTAAATATTTTTTTTTCTGAACTTCATTTTACCCTCTTTCTTCCCACCATGATTTGGGGTCTCTTCTGATTTGGTTAAAGCACATTTTCCTGGGGTCTTTGCCACCCATTTAGTATTTTATTTGCTCCTTCATATATTCTTATCTGGACAAAATGACAAGGCAGAAAAACTCACCACAAAAAAAAAGAACAAGAGGCAGTACCGAAGGCTAGGGACCTTATCAATATGGACATTGGTAATATGTCAGATCTAGAGTTCAGAATGATGATTCTCAAGGTGCTAGCTGGACTTGAAAAAGGCATGGAAGGTATTAGAGAAACCCTGTCTGGAGAAATAAAAGCCCCTTCTGGAGAAATAAAAGAACTAAAATCTAATCAAGTTGAAATTAAAAAAGCTATTAATGAGGTGCAATAAAAAATGGAGGCTCTTACTGCTAGGATAAGTGAGGCAGAAGAGAGAATTAGTGATATAGAAGACCAAATGACAGAGAATAAAGAAGGTGAGCAAAAGAGAGACAAACAACTACTGGACCATGAGGGGAAAATTCGAGAGATAAGTGATACCATAAGACAAAACAACATTAGAATAATTGGGATTCCAGAAGAAGAAGAAAGAGAGAGGGGAACAGAAGGTATATTGGAGAGAATTACTGTAGAGAATTTCCCTAATATGGTAAAGGGAACAAGCATCAAAATCCAGGAGGTGCAGAGAAGTCCCCTTAAAATCAATAAGAATAGGTCCACACCCCATCATCTAACAGTAAAATTTACAAGTCTTAGGGACAAAGAGAAAATCCTGAAAGCAACCTGGGACAAGAAGTCTGTAATATACAATGGTAAAAATATTAGATTGGGAGCAGACTTATCCACAGAGACCTGGCAGGCCAGAAAGAACGGGCATGATATATTTAGAGCACTAAACGAGAAAAATATGCAGCCAAGAATACTATATCCAGCTAGGCTATCATTGAAAATAAAAGGCGAGATAAAAAGCTTCCAGGACAAACAAAAACTGAAAGAATTTGTAAACACCATACCAGCTCTACAGGAAATCTGAAAGGGGTCCTCTAAGCAAAGAAAGAGCCTAAAAGTAGTAGACCAGAAAGGAGCAGCGACAATATACAGTAATAGTCACCTTACAGGCAATACAATGGCACTAAATTCATATCTCTCAATAGTTACCCTGAATGTAAATGGGCTAAATGCCCCAATCAAAAGACAGGGTATCAGAATGGAAAAAAAAAAATCAATATGCTGTCTAAAAGAAACTCATTTTAGACCCAAAGACACCTCCAGATTTAAAGTGAGAGGGTGGAAAACAATTTACCATGCTAATGGACATCAAAAGAAAGTTGGGGTGGCAATCCTTATATCAGATCAATTATATTTTAAGCCAAAGATTATAATAAGAGATGAGGAAGGATGCTATATCATACTCAAAGGATCTGTCCAACAAGAAGATCTAACAATTTTAAATATCTATGCCCCTAACATGGGAGCAGCCAACTATATAAACCAATTAATAACAAAATCAAAGAAACACATCGACAATAATACAATAAGAGTAGGGGACTTTAACACTCCCCTCACTGAAATGGACAGATCATCCAAGCAAAAGATCAACCAGGAAATAAAGGCCTTAAATGACACACTGGACCAGATGGACATCACAGATATATTTAGAACATTCCATCCCAAAGCAACAGAATACACATTCTTCTCTAGTGCACATGGAACATTCTCCAGAACAGATCACATCCTGGGACACAAATCAGGTCTCAACTGATACTAGAAGATTGGGATCATTCCCTGCATATTTTCAGACCACAATGCTCTGAAGCTAGAACTCAATCACAAGAGGAAATTTAGAAAGAACCCAAATACATGGAGACTAAAGAGCATCATTCTAAAGAATGAATGGGTCAACCAGGAAATTAAAGGAGAACTGAAAAAATTCATGGAAACAAATGATAATGAAAACACAACGGTTCAAAATATGTGGGACACAGCAAAGGTGGTCCTCAGAGGAAAGTATATAGCGATACAAGCCTTTCTCAAGAAACAAGAAAGGTCTCAAATACACAACCTAACCCTACACCTAAAGGAGCTGGAGAAAGAACAGCAAAGAAAGCCCAGCAGGAGAAGAGAAATAATAAAGATCAGAGCAGAAATCAATGAAATAGAAACAAACAAACAAAAAACAAACCCCCAAAAACCAATAGAACAAATCAACAAAACTAGGAGCTGGTTCTTTGAAAGAATTAATAAGATTGATAACCCCCTGGCCAGACTTATCAAAAAGAAAAGAGAAAGGACCCAAATAAATAAAATCATGAACGAAAGAGGAGAGATCACAACCAACACCAATGAAATACAAACAATTATAAGAACATATTATGAGCAACTATACGCCAGCAAATTTGACAATCTGGAAGAAATGGATGCATTCCTAGAGACATACAAACTACCACAACTGAAACAGGAAGAAATAGAAAACCTGAACAGACCCATCACTGGTAAGGAGATTGAAACAGTCATCAAAAATCTCAAAAATCTCCAAACAAACAAGAGCTCAGGGCCAGATGGCTTCCCAGCGGAATTCTACCAAACATTTAAAGAATAATTAATTCCTATTCTCCTGAAACTGTTCCAAAAAATAGAAATAGAAGGAAAACTTCCAAAGTCATTTTATGAGGTCAGTATCACCTTGATCCCAAAACCAGACAAGGATCCCATCAAAAAAGAGAATTACAGACCAATATCCTAGATGAACACAAATGTGAAAATTCTCACCAAAATACTAGCCAATAGGATCCAACAGTACATTAAAAGGATTATTCACCACGACCAAGTGGGATTTATTCCAGGGCTGCAAGGTTGGTTCAACATCCGCAAATTAATCAATGTGATACAATACTTTAATAAAAGAAAGAACAAGAACCATATGATACTCTCAATAGATGCTGAAAAATCATTTGACAAAGTAAAGCATCCCTTCCTGATCAAAACTCTTCCAAGTGTTGGGATAGAGTGCACATACCTCAATATCATCAAAGCCATCTATGAAAATCCCACTGCAAATATCATTCTCAATGGAGAAAAACTGAAAGCTTTTCCGCTAAGGTTGGGAACAGGGCACGGATGTCCATTATCACCACTGCTATTCAACATAGTACTAGAAGCCCTAGCCTCAGTAATCAGACAACAAAAAGAAATTAAAGGCATCCAAATCGGCAAAGAAGAAGTCAAACTATCACTCTTTGCAGATGATATGATACTATATGTGGAAAACCCAAAAGACTCCACTCCAAATCTGTTAGAACTTGTACAGGAATTCAGTAAAGTGTCAGGATATAAAATCAATGCACAGAAATCACTTGCATTTCTTTACACCAACAACAAGATAGAAGAAAGAGAAATTAAGGAGTCAATCCCATTTACAACTGCACCCAAAACCGTAAGATACCTAGGAATAAACCTAACCAAAGAGGCAAAAACTACAAAGTACTCATGAAAGAAATTGAGGAAGACACAAAGAAATGGAAAAATGTTCCATGCTCATGGATTGGAAGAACAAATATTGTGAAAATGGCTATGCTACCTAAAGCAATCTACACATTTAATGCAATCCCTATCAAAATTCCATCCATTTTTCCAAAGAAATGGAACAAATAATCCTAAAATTTATATGGAACCAGAAAAGACCTCAAATAGAGGAATATTGAAAAAGAAAGCGAAAGTTGGTGACATCACAACTCCAGACTTCAAGCTCTATCACAAAGCTGTCATCATTAAGACAGTATGGTACTGGCACAAAAACAGACACATAGATCAATGGAACAGAATAGAGAGCCTAGAAACAGACCCTCAACTCTATGGTCAACTAATCTTCGACAAAGCAGGAAAGAATGTCCAATGGAAAAAGGACGGCCTCTTCAACAAATGGTTTTGGGAAAATTGGACAGCCACATGCAGAAAAATGAAACTGGGCCATTTCCTTACACCACACACAAAAATAGACTCAAAATGGATGAAGGACTTCAATGTGAGAAAGGAATCCATCAAAATCCTTGAGGAGAACACAGGCAGCAACCTCTTTGACCTCAGCCACAGCAACTTCTTCCTAGGAACATCGCCAAAGGCAAGGGAAGCAAGGGCAAAAATGAACTATTGGGATTTCATCAAGATCAAAAGCTTTTGCACAGCAAAGGAAACAGTTAACAAAACCAAAAGACAACTGACAGAATGGGAGAAGGTATTTGCAAATGACATATCAGATAAAGGGCTAGTATCCAAAATCTATCAAGAGCTTAGCAAACTCAACACCCAAAGAACAAATAATCCAATCAAGAAATGGGCAGAAGACATGAACAGACATTTCTGCAAAGAAGACATCCAGATGGCCAACAGACACATGAAAAAGTGCTCCACATCACTCGGCATCAGGGAAATACAAATCCAAATCACAATGAGATACAACCTCACACCAGTAAGAATGGCTAAAATTAACAAGTCAGGAAATGACAGATGCTGGCGAGGATGCGGAGAATGGGGAACCCTCTTACAGTGTTGGTGGGAATGCAAGCTAATGCAACCACTCCGGAAAACAGCATGGAGGTTCCTCAAAAAGTTGAAAATAGACGTACCCTAAGACCCAGCAATTGCACTATTGGGTATTTACCCTAAAGATACAAATGTAAGTGATCTGAAGGGGCACATGCACCTGAATGTTTATAGCAGCAACATCCACAATAGCCAAACTGTGGAAAGAACCTAGATGTCCATCAACAGATGAATGGATAAAGAAGATGTGGTATATATATACACAATGAAATACTATGCAGCCATCAAAAGAAATGAAATCTTGGCATTTGTGACGACGTGGATGGAACTAGAGGGTATTATGCTTAGCGAAGTAAGTTAATCAGAGAAACACAACTATCATATGATCTCCTTGATATGTGGAAGTGGAGATGCAACGTGGGGGGTTTGGGGGGTAAGAAAAGAATAAATGAAACAAGATGGGATCGGGAGGGAGATAAACCATAAGAGACTCTTAATCTCACAAAACAAACTGAGGGTTGCCGGGGGGAGTGGGGTAGGGAGAGGGTGGTGGGGTTATGGACATTGGGGAGGGTATGTGCTATGGTGAGTGCTGTGAAGTGTGTAAACTGGGCGATTCACAGACCTGTACTCCTGGGGCTAATAATACATTATATGTTTATAAAAAAATTTAAAAAATTATAAAAAAAATGTTGAAGACAAAAGATACTATAATTTACTTAAAGATGAAGGTTACTAGTCATTGAGGCAGAAGTTTTTTTTGAATAGAATTTGCTTATTAATTTCTCACTTTTCTAATTATAAAAGTAAAACATACTTGTTATAGAATATTTTGAAAATATAAAAAATTATAGAGAGGGCAAAAAAAATCACCCAAAATAATGCTAATATTTTTGACAGGTTTCCTATTAGTTTCCTTTATGCAAATCTGCTTATAGTTGAGATCATGTTTCATATAAAATTTGGTTAGAAAATTAGAGCATAAATGTTTCTCCATATTATGAAAATTCTTTATTTCAACATAATATTCTCTCATTTATTTAACCATTTAATAGTTGTTGGAAATTTAGGTTGCTCTTCTTGTGTGTTTTTAACTGTTTTGGTTTTTAGATTCCAGCTATAAGTGAAATCATATGTTATTTCTTTCTCTGTCTGTTTTATTTCACTTAGTATAATACCCTGTACATCCATCCATGTTGTCATGAATGGCAAGATTTTATTTTATTCTATGTTTGGGTAATATTGCATTGTGTATGTGTGTTATATACGGTGTGTGTGTGTGATCTTCTTTATCCATTCATCTATAGGTGGACACTTAGGTTGCTTTCCACATCCTGACTATTATAAATAATGCTGCAATAAACATAGGGGTGTATTATCTTTTTAGAATCAATTGGTGTCTTTTGGCAGGGGAAGTTTCAATTAGGTCATGCATATTTAACATTATAATAGATATGTTTGATCCTATTCCTGCTATTCTATTTTATGGCTTCTTGTTGTCTCCAAAAATAAGAGCTGAAATTAAGGTAGTGGCAATGGGAAGGAAAGGATGGAGTCAAGTGGAAAGTTAGTAATGATGATAATGATGATGACATGTGGGATGCAGGAGAGTGAGGGGGGTTCAGGATTGGCAGAAGGTTTCCTGATAATCAAGTTTTGTCAACTGGTGTATGGGCATGGCCTCTTTTTGTTTTTATAATGGTAGAGAAGATGAGTTTAGTTTAAGACATGTTCTCTGGGGCGCCTGGGTGGCAAAGTTGATTAGGTGTCTGACTCTTGATTTCAGCTCAGGTCATGACCTTGGGGTCGTGGGATCAAGCCCTGATTTGGGCTCTGTAGTCAATGGGGAGTCTGCTGGAGATTCTCTCTCTCCCTCTGCCTGGCCCCCATGTGCATGTGCACTCACTTCTCTCTCTCAAATAAATGAATGAATCTTTTAAAAAAATATGTTCTCGGAGATCTCTGTGGTATATGTAAATAGAGAGATGCTACAAAAGCAGTTGGATACACAAATATGGAGCTAATGAAATAAATCTTTCCCTATATGTCCATAGTTCTATTGGAGAATCTGAATTTTGCCTGTATCTTAAAAGAACAATTTGATAATGATCCAAATTCAGGTTAAGCCTTTATCTATGGTAAAGTTGTATTTCCTTACCCCACAGTTGGTACAAACAAAGTAAGGAAAATTACCTTTGCCATGCCAACTGAACTGGCATTCAATTCTGAGATCCCTTGGTTGGTTTTGTCTCCACGTTCCCATATCCCAAAATCCTAGCATAAAATAATGAACATACCATTAGCAAGTCATCACTACTAAATGCATACTAGACACACAACTCTTGAATGAAAGACACACATAGTAGCTAATTCACCATACATATGTGTACCCATGATGCTCAATAGGGAGATACCAATGAGTTGGCTGCCCCTGTAGCTCTTTTTCTAGTAGCTTCAAATTCTGTTGGGACCTCTGATAAGTTGGAAGACTCCTCAACAGTTGATCGGGCCTAAGAACTATAACTCAGTCCATGTAGAAAAATACTTCTCAAAATTTTTCAAGGCAGATACTCAGGGGGTCTAAAAAGCAGCACCCTAGTGTTTCATCTTAAATATCTATTCTAATTTTACTCTTGATTGGCATTGACAATGTACCATACACTAACCTATGCACTTTATACCACTATCTTCCTTAATCCTTCTATTTTATAGATGATGAAACTAAGGTGCAAAGAGAGGTTAAGTGACTCACCCAAGGCCACACAGCTAATAAGTGACATAGCTAGGATTAGAGTCCAAGTACTCTCTGTCCAAAGTGTAAATTCTTAACCATAGCTGTATATGGCCCCTCGATAATATAAAGATAACATTTTATATTACTTTTTAAAAAAACCATTTTATTGAAATAACTTTAGATTTACAGAGAAGTTACAGAAATACTACAATGAGTTCCCATATACCTTTCACTATACTTCCCCTAATATTAACACCTGACATAATCATAGTATACTTATCAATGCTAAGAAATTAACATTAGTATAATCCTAGTAACCAGATTATGAACTTTGTTAGGATTTCACCAGTTTTTCCACTAACAGCCATTTTATGTTCCAGGATCCAATCCAGAATACCATGCTACATTTGTCATAACTCCTTGGTCTTTTCCAATCAGTTACAGTTTCTCAAGTCTTGTCTTTCATGACCTTGACACTTTCAGAAGATCAGTGGTCAGATATTGTATAGATTTCTCTCAATTTAAATTCACCTTATATTTTCTCTTTATTAGATAAAGATTGTGCATTTTTTGTCAAGATTTCTATAGATGTTATGCTGTGTCCTTCTCACTGTATCATATCAAGGAGTACATGACATTAATATGTCTTGTTATGGTGATGTTAACCTTCATCATGTGGTTAAGATGGTGTCTGTGGGGTTTCTCTGTTCTACTGCTACTATTTTCCCCCTTGTGATTAGTAACTATCTTGAGAAAGATACTTTACAACTGTGCAAATATCCTGTACCTCCTCAAATATCTACCCACTAATTTAGCATCCCCTGGTGAATCTTGTTTGCAACAATTATTACAGTGGTGTTTCAGTGGTGATTTTTTAGTTCCTTCATTACCTCTACAGTCATTAATTGCAATCCTTCTCTAACGAAGAGCTTTTCTTTCCTTCATTCATTTATTCACTTGTTTATATCAGTATGAACTTAAAGATATTTAGGTTATTCTCTGGGTTATAATAAAATACTATTGTTATTTGTTTTGTTGCTCAAATTATTGCAGCTTTAGCCATTGGGAATTCTTCCAGGTTGGCTCCTGCATCCTTCAGAAATGCCCCATTCTTTCTGTACACTTCCTCACTTTCTGTCACTACAAGAAACTGTAGTTTGATTTTGTATTTTCCTCCCCCCAGCCCTAGAAACAACCACTTTTACAAGGAATCCTGATTTCTTTTGTTACAGAATGAATAGTTACAATCCAAGACCTAGGCACTGGTGCTCATTGTCACTGTGGTGTCATTGCTTCTAGGCCCTCCCATTGAACAGAATTTGGCAATATCCATGTGTACACACACACACACCCCTATATTTGTTTCTATATTTACCTTAAATCACTTTTTATATCAAATCTCTGAGTTAAAGTGAAGCTTCTGGAAGGTAAGTCATATTTATCCCATGGCTAGCCTCACTTGTCCTCAAACCCAGCTCTACCCTAATCTGTGTAGCAAGATTAGAGTACAAGAAGGCACATATCATTAATTCTACTGGTGCAACCCCTGGCTTCAATGGAGAGGTAAGAGAACACTGACCTGTACCCTGGACCATAGCAGGCTTATGGTATCAGAAGGCAAAGTGATCAGTCAATAAATACTGTCCTCTCGCATCAAATATGTCTATGCAAATTTATCGTTCTAACAAATATGAAGTGACAGGTCACAGGTTTACCTTCCCATCTAAAATAGCTAAAAAACAACTAAACAATCAAACAATAGACGACTAAAAAAATGGACTATTTGTGACACAGCCATTTTCAAAACAATGAACATTATGCACTGAAGAACACTGATCCCTGAGAGAGATGTTAAATACATTATGATTTGATATAAACCTATCTCATATAGTAGTTGTGAGGAAAAGGAACTATTTTTTGTATAGTAAGCACTAAATCAATGTCTATAGATAATATTAAACATATGACTACATTTTATTTCTAAGTAGCTAATTGACCCATTATACTCCCTAGTCATCTTGCTCCTATTTAAGACCACAGACCATTAAAATAAGACCACAATTTAGTTCCAGATTCCCAAATACATGACATGAGATATTACAGAATTTGACAGGAGTGCAAGCATAGCATCTTGACACTTTTTTCTCTGTAACTTCTTTGGAGAGAAGGCAAACTGGATCACTGAGCTTAGCAAAGAAAGAGGCTGAAGGCAATTTCTGCCAGAAGCCTTATAGATTGGTTCACTATAAGGGGCAGCATTAGGAGAAGGAATGGATTGTTCAGCATTTTTAGAAACATCATATGTTTAAAGTCAATTCCCATTATGAGTACTTACAGCAGTTTTATATGCAGCTTCAATGTAAAACACAAGGTTTTGTATGAAATTGACTTCATCTAGGCTGTGGACGATATGAAGTCCTGAGGAAAAAGACAATAATTTTACAGAGCTGGTCAATTACTACTACAGGCTTTATAGGCAGCCACAGGAACTAACTGATCCCATTACTTTTTAAGTAATGGAACAATGAGAGGCACTTTGATTCCTAAACCATAAAAGCAAAACCACAAATCAGACCTAAGCTAGTCTTTGACTATGTGAGATACCAGCATATTAAAACATGGAAGTATTTTAACTGTTATTTGTAGGTTTCCACAGAAAATCTCAGACTCCTAATTCTATAGGGAATTAATTTATAATGTGCCTTAAGGTATCTGGAAGAAGAAAGACAAATATTTCAAAAAAGAGTTGGAGAGAGTCTAAATACTAAGCAAGAAGTAGAAAAAGATTATGATTTTAAGAAAAACTTAAAACTATACTTCTTGGAGTAAAAAATGATAATTATTCTAAATGTAAACTATACAAGATAGTTATACCTTACAAACTGAGTGTTTTGCATGAATTATCAATTTAATTTTTACATCAACCCTAAGAAGTGGGTACCTCTATTTTCTCCATGAGGCTTAGAGAGATTAAATATTTGCCTAAGACCATTTAACTATAAATAGTGAAACCAGGACCCAACTATCAACTTCTGTTTCACTTCAGAGACTGAGTTCCTAACCAAGATGCTATACTGCTTCCCAATATGTATAGTATGATACATTTCATTAAAAATTATATCCTCTCAAACAAAACAAAACAAAAGCAAAACTCCTCTCCCCTCTTCTGTCCCCCCCAATAAAGAAATACCATAGGCATACAGTGAAAGTCTTTCTCCCACCCAGAATCCAATCAGTTTCCCCCTGCCAAATCTCTTCTCTGAAAGAAGTCAGAATCGCTAAAATTAACAACACAAGACAGAACAGGTTTAACTAAACATTTGTTAAAACTCATTGAAATGTACATTTTAAATGGATAGATTTTATTGTATGTAAATTATACTTTGATAGACCTGAAAAAAGAGATCCATTTATATGTTAAAAGATTGAAGTGCTGCATGAGGTATTCCAAATGCTAAGATTTCCAGGGAGGCAGAAGGAGTCTGTGTTTTCACATTTTGTAATGTTTGTGTGATATGTGAAGTGATCCCGTCACATAATTTAATATTTAAATGATTATTTAATTATGTAATATTTAATAAAAATCCTGTTACATAAAAAAAGAAACCAGTCTTACCAGTTTCCTCTGTATCCTTTCAGAGAAATATTACACATATATGAAAAGTATCAAGGAGCTGTATACTATACTGTACTTTGCTTTCTTCATATATATCTTGGAGACAATTTTAAAGATATCTGCCTTATTTTTTTTAATGGCTACATGGAATTTCACTAAATGGCTAATTATATAACCATTTCCCTAATGAAAACATGTAGGTTGTACCTAACGCTTCATCACTATAACTAATGCTGTAATGAATATATATATATATGCATAAATACACATATGATACATATGATATACACGAATATGATACATACATGAATGATAAATATATATATACATATGTATGTATATATGTATGTATATCTTTGTGCACATGTACCAGTAAATCAAGGTAAATTCTTTTTTTTCCCAGGGTAAATTCTTAGAGGAATTGCTGAGTCACAGACTTATGCATATTATTTTTCCCCAACATTTTATTGTGAACATTTTCAAACAAACAGAAAAAATGACAGAATTTTACAGTGAGCATCTGTATGCACATCATCTGGATTTAAGCATCAACATTTTACTATAATTTTCTATCACATATGTATCTATCCATCAATCTATCTTTTTTGATACATTCAAAGTAAGTTGCAAATATCAATACACTTCTCCCTAAATACTTCACCATGTGTATATTAAAGGTTAATAATCATCACCAAGTTATTCTGCAAAGAAGTTCCACAGTTTACATACCAATCAGCCCTGCCCTCCTACTTCCTATGCCCTTGTTAACACAGGCTTTAATAAAAATTTTTTATCTTTGCCACTGTAATGGAGGAGAAATAAAATCTCTGTAGTTTAATTTGTAGTTCTTTTAATTGTGGGTCAGGTTGTGAGTCTTTTTATATGTTTATAAGCCATCCACATTTTTTTTCCTATGAACTGTTTGGTTGTGTCCTTCACAATTTCCATGGAATTGCTGGTTTTCGAGTTACTGACATACTGATGAATATTAAGGAAATTATCCTTTTATTTATCATATCTGTTGCAAGTATTTTTCCTAGTTTGAACTTTGACTTTGTTTACAGTATATTTTTCTTATCAGAAATTTTTATTTATTTATTTTCCTTAAGATTTTGTTTAAATTCAAGTTAGTTAGCATACAGTGTATTATTAGTTTCAGGGGTAGAATTTAATGATTCACCACTTAAATATAATATCCAGTACCAATGCTCATTATATTCATTATATCAAGTGCCCTCCTTAATACCCATCATTCCATTATCCCATCCTCCCACCAACCTCCCCTCCAGCAACCCACAGTTTGTTCCTTATAGTCTCTTCTGGTCTGCTTCCATCTTTGTTTTTCTCTTACTTTATTCTTAGACTCTTTAATTAATAAGGTTTATCCCATGACTGTTTCTGGTACTTCTATAATTTCTTTTTAAGAAAATTTATTTATTCATTTGAGAGAGAGAGAGTGGGGAAGGGGCAGAGGGAGAGAATCTTCAAGCAGACTCCCCACTGAGCATGGATCCTGATGTGGGGATCGATCCCATGACCCATGCATGAGATCATGACCTGAGCTGAAACCAAGAGTTGGACTTTTAACTGACTGAGCCATCCAGGCACCCCTATAATTTCAATTTTTTGCATTTAAATCTTTGATCTATTGACAGATGTTTTAGATCACAGAACTCTAACTTTAGAGCCAAAAAGGACTGTATGATCCACATCATTAGACTATAAACTCCTCCTGATGCATGGCTCTGTCAAAACCAGCAACTGCAGAACAGGGCAGTTGCATTAGCAATGTGTCTTTCTTGTAGCAGTAATGACCTTAACCTCTTTCCTAGAGAGAGGAAAAAGAGATGATAGATATAATATTGGACATCAGCTTCACAGTTTTATCCTCTCCCCTTTGTGTGCCAGAGTGCTTGCTCAGAGACAGAGAGAAGGCAGAGGGTGTGAAAACGGTTTTGTCCATCTCTCAGACTTGCATCACAGCTAACAAATCACTATACAATATATTTATTTATTTGGCAGACAGAGATCACAAGTAGGCAGAGAGGCAGGCAGAGAGAGAGAGAGAGAGAGAGGAGGAAGCAGCCTCTCCACTGAGCAGAGAGCTCGATTCGGGGCTCGATCCCAGGTTTCTGGGATCATGACCTGAGCCGAAGGCAGAGGCTTTAAGCCACCGAGCCACCCAGGTGCCCCCACTATACAATATAAAAGCCACATTTCTATCATCTGTCCCTTTGCTCATGATATTGTTTAAATGGCCTCATCCACATCTTGAAATCCTAACTGTTCTTTCAAGGCCCAGCTCAAATTGTATCTCCTTGGTGATGCTGTCACTGATTCTTCTCTTCTGTGTTTCACAGAATTTTATTTTCCTTGCTGTAATGAACTTACTTTTTACTTTGTACTATAAATAAATCTATACCTAAATTTGAAGGAAAGAACCATTTCTTATTTATATTTATAGTCCCTAAAAGTATTTCACATAGTCTTTGAATGGTATTAACTAATATTAGCAGTAGATGTTCATTCAATAATGACTTATTGAATGATCTTAAACAACCCTGTTAACCACAGGAGAGGGACCTGTCTCTTGAGGCAACACCATACATTCAGGATCTCTGTATCCTGTCCCCTTTGTGGAGCCATGACATTACTTGAAGAACAGAGGATACATAGAAGTGAAATGAAGTAGAGCTGGGTAAGGCCAAAGATGGCAGTGCTATTTAAAGCATACTAAAACATGCAGAGCTCAGAAATGAGGCCAACTCAGTGGTCTACTCCACTTACATTGACTTGTACTCATCTATCAATAAGCCCCTCCTTCATTTTTAAAAATGTTATTGAGATATAATTCATATGCCATATAATTCACCCATTTCAAGTATATAGTTCAAAGGTTTTTAGGGTTTGCAGTGTTCTGCAACCATGGCCACAATCAATTTTACATTTTCATCACTCCTAAAAGAAACCCTGTACCCATTACCAGTCATTCCCCATTTCCTTTCAAGACTTTCTCTCCCTCTCCCTCCACCTAAGCAATTGCTAATCTACTTTGTCTCCATAGATGTGCCTTACCAGACATTCATATATGTGCAATCATACAACTTGTGGCCTTTCATGTGTGAGTTCACTTAGCATAATGTTTTCAAGGTTCATCCGTGTTGTAGAATGTATCAATGCTTCCATTTTTTCTAGCTAAAGAATATTTCATTTTGTGAATGTACCATATTTATCCAATTATCAGTTGATGGGACATTCAGGTTGTTTCCACTTTTTGGCTCTTATAAGTAATACTGATATGAACATCCATGTATCTACACAAGCTTTTGAGTGAACACTTTTTCATTTCTTTTGGGCATATACCTATAAGTGAAATCGCTAGATCATATGGTAATTCTGCTTAACCTTTTGAGAACTGCCAGACTATTTTCCAAAGTGGCTGCACCACTTTACATTCCCACCAATGGTGTATAACGATTCCAATTTTTCCATATCTTCAGGAACATTTGTTGTTTTCTGTCTTTTTGATTTTAGCCATCCTAGGGGGTGTGATGTGGTATGTCATTATTGGGATCTGCATTTGCCTAGTGACTAATAACGTTCAGCAGTTTTTGTGTACTTATTGCCCATTTAAATATCTTTTTTAAAATTTTTTATTTTTTCAGCGTAACAGTATTCATTATTTTTGCACCACACCCAGTGCTCCATGCAATCCGTGCCCTCTACAATACCCACCACCTGGATCCCCAAACCTCCCACCCCCCGCCCCTTCAAAACCCTCAGATTGTTTTTCAGAGTCCAT